AGGACGAAGCAGAGGCCGAAGCCTGGGCTGGAAGCGATCTCGGGGAGGACAGAGAAGACGAAGGAGGTGGAGAAGGAGGTGAGGGAGGAGGAATTGGAAGTAGGTCTCATGGCGAGCTTTGTTGGGTAGAACACGCGGCCGACGGAGTACTGAACGGTGTCGTTTGTGAGGCGGATGACGGTGGCGTCGAGCATAGCGTCGTCGATGAGAGTGAGGTCGGTGGCATTGGTGATGTTGGAGAAGGAGTTGAAGAGAAATTCGAGAGCCGAAGTGGGAGAGAAGAAGATGGGGTGGAGAAGGAGGAGGAGGGGGAGGAGAAGTGAGAAGGGTCTCATCCGGTGGTTATGTTACTTTCTTTAGTGAAGATTACTCAGTATTGTACGTGTGGACAGCTCAGTCAGTCCTAAACCCTAATCATTCATTATTTCATATTGAAGAAGAACCTCATGCAAGAAATGAAATATTATTATTACAAATCTAGTTGTTGCTTTTATATATACTGAATAGGGGAAAGCATTCGATTATTTTTCGTCTGTTCACTATCACGTAATGTTATCAATTTATTTATGTTATATCATATGTAAATACTGACGGAGAAAATACATGTATAGGTATAAGTTGGTGATGGGTGAATGTATTTTAGAGCTTCTATCAAGTGTGGGGAGAATGAAAGCGAAAATAATTTCGCCCTAGTTGCATTCACATAATTCAATTTCCAAAGCACAAGGTTTAAGATAAGGCATTCACACACCCGACTTTCGGTACCAATATATTAGTCAATTCAAGCTTTCGAGGTTTTGAATGTTAACAGTTCAATGGGTTGTTTGGTATATTTCCACAAGCTTCTAGATTACATCAAAGACCTAGAAAAGTTATCACGTGTACTATATTGCAATTGATCGGGATAACAAAATAGTGCTATCTCCGTTTCATGCAAGTGTTTCTTTCAAAAAACACCAAGCAACAAATTACCACCCACACTCAAAAAAACGAAAAAAAATAAAAAATCTAAGCAGCAATAAGTCCTGCTCGGGTCCAATGCCAAAAATAAGGCCTAAATTAAATTCAAGAAGGCCCTTCCCCAATTTTGATCCTTAAGTTTGGACTAGGATTTGGGCCTTCTAAATGCACCCAAGCATTTGATCAGCGCACCTAGTACCCAAATACGTTCCAAAACTTAAAAATTCTGAATTTCACTCAGAGATGCATTGATGGAATGATTCAAAAACAATTCACAAGAGAAAAACTTAAAAATATAATAGAAAACCCACTCATTGTAGGGTTCTAGAGACGGCATCGATGCCCCGATCCCATAATCTCGACACTAATTAGAGTCTAATCAGTCATGATTGGTTCCTTAATAATTTTTTTTTAAAGTATCATCTGATTATTCATTTAGGAATATTTCTCTTTATTTTATTGAAATATATTTCAAATTTGAAACTTATTCTCTTCAAATAATTATGTAAATTAATCATTGTAAGGGGTTTGAGATGGCATTGCACCTTGTATGATTCATGAACCATTTATGTGGGCCATGACCATCACCTTATTGGCCATACACAAAGAATCTTGCCTGCCTGTGGCCTTTTTATTTGGCCACCACAATAATCAAGTGGATGATGCTTGCTAGCTCCTCTCCACAAACGCCAGCTGCTATGGATGCCACGTGCCCTCGTATTAGGTATTTCCTTCCGCGTGTCTACATCTCTGTAAACATAACTTAACGAGTTAACTACCGCCCCTGTATACGTTCTTGTCGGGAACGGTCCGTCCTTGATTTTCTTTCTGAATTAGACAAGGACCTCGATTTGTGAATTAGTTTTCTTTTTGAATTTCGATGACATTTGGTAGTGTATTTGAGAAAATCCCAAATTAATCTAACTGAAAAATTACATGACGAACCACAAGAAGAAGTAACAAATATCGAATTTTTGTGCATCGCCAGCGATTAAATATTTGGCTGAAATTAGAGAAGATAACATCTTTGGTCGTGCCATAACTGAAATGATGTTGGCGCCCATGCTTATCCTTTTTCTCATTCTTGTTACCAAATTCATGTACCAACATGTCATGTCTCTAAGGCAATGGACAATGATGTTCAATGGAACTTTTTTCTTTTGGCCTCATTCGGACTTCTCCAATCGTCTTATACACTCTTATATCATAGTTCGAATAGCACAAAAAAGTCCTTGTTTTTTTTTATAAGCGATATTAGAGGAGGAGATTTTTTCACGCACTGCCGAAGTGTCTAGAGGTTCAAATATGAAACCATTAGTCTACAAGTGAATATCCTTTTCCACTAGCTAAACCCCATTGGCACAAAAAAAAAAAATCTTTGGGGGCCGTTTGGTTCAAGATTTCGGAGCTTGGAAATTAGTATGAAATTGCATTCTTATATTTGGTAAATGCATCTTTAGGAATGCAATACTCATGGGAAGTCCTTCCATGTAAGAGGAATTTCATACCTATAGCTTGTCTCTAGAAACTAACCACTTTTGACATTTCAAACCTATTTGTATTAAAAACTTTTAATAATAAAAAATCAAGGATATTGTTGGAGAATTAAACAACTTTTCATTCCTTATACTACATAGACCAAATATGAGAATGAGATAAAATGACATTTTCTAGTCCTTATTTCCGAAACATGAGAATGAACATCATCCACTCCCATCTCATAGAATTAAACGTGGAAGTTTAATTCAAAAACCAAACATACTTTTAATATACTAATCGATATATCACGTGACGAGAAAGATACACAACTATCACTATAAATTTTCGATAGAAATACACGATGGTTAGTAAGACGTTTGATATTTTGAACTGAAATGATCTCTTTTAGTTTGCAGATGTTATAATTGCAAACTCCAAATAATTGTACAGTCAAAAGAAAAGTTATTTGGACATTTCACCTAAATTTCTATGCATGTATGGAAAGCGAATCCAAATAAAAACATCTGTGTCCATAAATGGGACCTTTCGTGGAGTATTCAAAGATCACCGGCTGCATTTTGCAATTATTGGAACAAATTCTTTAAGTTTATAATTAATTAATTAATTATTATATATGGTATGACAATTTTTGTATGCATATTTGGAAGGAAAACTAATGGAATCTTAGAGTTTGTATGCATGGAACAAAATCAATTTACAGGAGTCGTTGGAATTCTTGTGAGGTTGAGCCGTGAAATTGAGGTCTAGAACCGACCAAAATAAATAAATTTGAGGTCTAGAACCTTAGCTTGGCAGTTTGGTTTCCCAACTAGATGAGGATTCCCTAAAAAAGTTTTAAATATTTTGTTATCGACATTTGTTCCTTTAAGAGCATCTCCAAGGGAGATGTCAAATACCAAACATCAAACTTAAATTTGATGGCTGATGTGACAATTTGACATCTTACACAGCTTTACACTTCACCCAATATGTCAAATTAAATTATTATTTTATTACATTTTAGTGTTGATTTATTTTTAATTAAAAAGAAAAGAAAAGAAAAAATAATAAAATATTAATTTGACATCTTGCTTTTGAGATGTCAAAAATAACATATCAACCTTCAGTCTTCATTCCATATAAGTTTTGACACATCGGTTGGAGTGATGTGATATGTTATTTCTAGCCGTTAAATGTCTATGTGACATTTTTGACACATCGGTTGGAGATGCTCTAAGACAGCTTAAAAACAAGGGTAGATCATAGATGGCATGTTATTTCTAGCCATTAAATATCTATGTGTATCGCTAAAAATTATTCACTAAGATTCATTATTGTCACGTGTGAAGATACTTTCAAATATTCTTAAAATACGTTATAATTTAGCAAAATTAGGTTGGATATGAGCTGTAATGATAATGAAAAATAAAACTTTTTTTTTAGGACCTTTGTTATTGAAAGGGGTGTTATTAGACCGCTCCGTTATTGTAATCGCCCTTTTGTGGCTAGTTTGTTTTGGCCCCTTGTGGCTAATGGCTTTTTTGGCTGAATTATAAATGCAATCCTAAAATTTCTTTAAAAATAAAAAAAAACTCATACACACTACATAAATGTTGGGACTCAAACCTAGGACCTTTCATAGAGGAGCAATTACTCCAAACCACACTAATAGATCATTTGCTGAAACAAAACATTTGAATTTAACTATTTACATAAATACCAACCCACAAAATTACAATTAAGATATTTTTAATCCCATTATGATTCGATTCATAATAACTTTTTCGGGTTACAAAGATGGAATTTATGAGATGCATTTTTGGTGTAAATTCTCATTTGATCATAACATAACTCAATGTGTTGTGATTAACCTATGATCTAATTATAATAAATAAATAAATCAGACGATTTATCGGCTATAAACACAATAAACACAAATTCCCATCATCAAGAAGTCTAGGCAGCCTAGAATTGTACTCCAAATCTAAGTCGACATCGAAAGTGAAAAAGGTAAAAAAAAATTCCCTGGAATTTAGACACAAAGTCCATAATTCTCTAAATTAGTGGGAGTCTTTCACTAGAAAAGAGTGAAACCCAACCCGCCTAAACACACCAGCTGTAAGCAGGTGAACCAAAGTTACCCAATTGATTATGATTCCATTTCGACTTTGGATTGGAGTGACCTCGTGAATAAATTCAGTTTCAATGTGAAAAAGAAAAGGAAAATAAAAAAAAAAAGTAAATAGTTTTGTGTTTTTTATTTACAAAAATGATGACTCGCCACCTAAATGTGGGGCCCACTTCGTTGCGTTGAGTATTTTCAGGCACTCTTTTGTTTACAACGAGAAAAGAAAAAGGAATATCCGAATAAAATTAACGAATGGTTTTCAAATTATTATTCAACAATAATACTAATTCCTATTAGGAATAGTAATTAGAGGAAGCAACCCCGTAATTAGTCATTCTTTCATTTGCGTGTGGGTCTCTCGCTGACGTCACCCCCACTCCTCCCTCTCCTCCTCCCCCTCCTATAAATATTCGACAAAACCACTCCCTGAGGTTTGAAGCCTCAAGCCCCTCTCCTCCTTCAAACCCTCTTCTTCTCTCTCTTCTCTCTTCTTCTTCCCTCTCTCTGCCTTGAAAGTAAAAAAAGTCTCAGAGCCATGGACCAACACAAGACCAAAGAAACTTTAAAACTCCTCTGTAGCTATGGCGGGAAAATCCTCCCACGTCACACCGACGGTAATCTCCGTTACGTCGGTGGCCTCACTCGTGTTCTCGCCGTAGATGCCTCCATTTCCTTTGCAGGTTTGTTCAATCTGCTTCAATTCGTTATTTTCCTTTTGATTTTGGCTTAATTTACTTGAATTTCGACTCGATTTCAGTTGCTTCGTTGAATTTGGTGCTAATTTCCATTTTTTCGATATGTACAGAGCTAATGGTGAAGCTCGCGGAGTTCTGTGGCTACTCTGTGGATTTGAGGTGTCAATTGCCGGGTGGAGACTTGGAGACCTTGATTTCGGTCAAGTCCGAAGAGGAGTTAGCTAATATCATCGAAGAGTACGATCGAGCTTCTTCTTCGTCTCGTCCTCTAAAGATCAGAGCCATTCTCTCGCCGTCGAAATCGCTGAAGCAAATCTCGCCTCCTATGTCTATGGCTACGAGCGGCGGCGATTCGTCCCCTTCGAAATCGCTTTTATCGTTCACCGATTCGCCTCCGAAACGGTATGTTTCGCCTCTGAAAGGGTATGTTTCGCCTCCGAAACGGTACGCTTCGCCGCCGATTGTACATCCCGGGCCAGTCAGGTTTCAGAAAGGGTCCGGACGTGTTTGCTACTATCCTTGCCATGTCCAGAGCAACCCCAGCGACATGTCGTATCTTCCTCCTCCTCATCATCAACATCACCATCGTCATCAACACGTTCCTCACTGCAATGACTGGCGTTGAGATTCGAAGCCCTAACTTCTAGGAGCTTCACACAAAGAATATCGCTGATGACGGAAAAAATTTAATCAAAAACTTAAAAAACAAAATAGAAAACAAATACAAGGGTGAAATTTTGTGATTGGTTGTGAAATGAAGGATTTTCCTTTTTTCCTTTTATTTTTTCATTTTTTTCGAGGTGGTATAATGACAAAAATTCATTGCTTGAATTTGTGTCGCCGTGAATTCTGGTACAACTTTTATCGTTCGGGATTCCGTTAGTCGCCGTTAAGCCAGCGCTGTACACTGTCCAGCATGCGTGCCACGTAGCGTAAATAGGTCTGTCACTGCTCACTATTGGACAAAATATTCCAACTGCAGTCGGTTCGTCGTTGACACGTACCGTTTCTGTTACACCTGTGTCATTAACTATTGTTGGTCGTATTATTATTAGTAATTTTGTGCTAATGATTTTTTTAATTTTCTTATGTTGGCAGGTGGTGGTTGCATTTGGCATCAGAATTAGATGCCGTTTCGGATGGGGCCCGCGAGGAATATTATAAAATAAAACGCTTATGCGTTGAACTTTTGGACCTTCTCCCATAAGACTAAAAAAAAGTCTTAAAAGGCCGCCAGCTTGGTCTGAAATTAAGTAAAAAAAAATTAAAGACGAATTATTATGGCCTTAAAAATAGAATTAATAATTAATTATGAGATGTGACCTTCCTAGTGGCTACCTACTAGGCCACTGGTAAACAAAGAATAGACCAGAAGAAGGACGAATATTTTCTAACTTGCCTTACCCTCAGGGTTGGCCAGTTGGTGCCTGATGGATCATCCTAGGAAGTAAGGAGGAATGACTTTTATAAAGGGCAAACTTTGAATGCTTCTTAGACAAGTCTCGAGTCTAAACCAATAAATTTATTATTTGAATTGAAGCAACCTTTGGAGGGCTTCTAGAGCCGAAGCTTACTTAGCTTCTTAATCACTAAATTAAGACAAGTTGATCTTTTTTAACTTGATACAACGTTTAAGAAGTAATTTGTTATTTTCTAATAAAATTCTACTTATTATATTGCAAACTGAATATGAATGCAACATATCAAACTTTATCCCACAAAACGTTCTCCCCTCCCCCACAAGGATGACGGAAATCGAATTTTCCGGCGTGACAAATCTACCTATTGCAAGTACGTGAAGACATATAAAATCAACATCTTTTGTACATATCTCCAACAGAAGGATATATAGAAACAAAAAGGCACAAGCTCTATCCATAACGAAGTGAGGCAATTCAACAGAACTGTCTAGGATAATATGAGAAGCATACAAGGTTCAAGACTTAATGCAGGTTTATTTGACCGTCCAAACACAAACAGAACTGAAGTGTCAGCAATTTCAGCCAGTTTCCTGCTCAAACTCTTCGCCCTCTGAGTCCTCTGCATTGTCGATGTCATCGTCATCTGGATCATGCTCGTAGTCGTCTTTATCATTGTCGACGGTGGTTTTACCAATCACAATTAGGCTGCTACTGCTCTTTCTGATTTCATTACACTGTTAAAAATGGTCACAACAACAAGCCGACTTAAATAGGAGAAGGAAAATGAAATGCTAAAACATAACAGTATAATCCCCTACAATTGTAATTTCAAGACACTTAAAAACAGACACACACAGATCCAACAATATTGCAAAAATGTGTCTAAATATATCATCTTTTCGAAGCAACTTAAGGGACATCATCCCGGCCTTAATCCTGCTCTGAAAAGAAGAACTAGGCTGTCCTAGTGAGACATGTGCCTTCACTCATTTAGCTATCTTGAGATTTAAGCAAAATCTTTCTTCAAATATATCTTGATAAGGAGCAATGCTTTTGTCATTTACAATTATGTTTTCATATGACTTTTGAGGCACCACCTCTATCCAAAAGGAACAAAGCTATCCGTTTAATATATATTTGTAACTTTTCTATTGGCAACCAGGGTGAGTATACCCCACCTGGCCTTGTGGAACTGATAGCCTAAGCCATCAAGGTGTCCTGTCCTACAGGGTACACACTTGAAACTATTTGACTAATAGAGTCTTTCTCCTTGAGGTTTTGGTTCTCTCATAGGCCTCTACATACGTGATAAGACCAAATGCTAAACTTGGATGAACTCAAAAATGTCGATAGCATAACTCCATCCTTTAGCTTGTTACACTCTTCAAACCCCAATCATTGAGGCTCTAACTCACAAGAAATCCGAAAACAGCACCTCATGACGAAAAACCACCCGTATATGAATGAACCTAAATTATCTGTGAATTCCTAAGATCAGACATGCATGTAACTCATGATATGCGCATGTGTTAAACAAAATCCAATTCCCATTACTGGATATCCTGAAACCATGATCTCTTTCTTACCATCTAAGATATTGGTCCCTATATCCAAGAATTTAAATTTGAATGACCTAGAACTTTGACTCCCTTTCAGAGTGAGTGCAACGATCATGGACCTTTTTGGTTCTTTCCAAAAGGAGTTATGCAATTACCATTAATATATGAGGTTTCAGAATCAAAATGAAGAACTATTCACTCCTAAAGAGATTCACAGAGCAATCAAAATTTAAATCCAGTACACTGGTGTTAAACCAACACATAGAAACAAATATGGCTGAATAAGTATTTCATGATACAAATTTGAGCATCAGAAGAGCTCTCAAGCTTATAGGATCAAGGAGAATAAGAAGAAGGAACTCCAACAAGATGCAGGCCTACAGAGAACAAAGCTTTAAAAGTTTCACTAGCATATTCTTACCCTACAGAGAACAAAAATTCCTACTTTATTAACAACGCTACAGATACCAAACCACATGCAAGAATTAGATCTAATTAGGCTTCAAATTAGGTTCCTTTTTTCAACAACACTTTCAGCCATTGGCTCATTTCACTTTCGTTCTTTGGATTGAAACCTCAATTAGCTACAAAAACTGGGGCCTTCCGTATAATTGTAGATGAGTTGATGAGAAATTGGGGCAAAGTGAAATATCTAAAAGTACCTTCTCTTCGAAATCGGACTCCTCCATAGCGAGGAGGAGCTCTTCGCTGTGGGGTTGGGGCCATTGGGTTGGCAGCAAAAACGACGACGGAATGGTCCTTGTTGACCATGGGTACTGTTTCATGAACCCCGGGAACTGTAACATTGCTCTCTCTCTCTCTCTCTCTCTCTCTCTCGCTGAACAGAGTCCGTACAAAGCTCTAAGGCCCGTGGCGAGACCTGGTCGACTGGGTCTGTTTGCCGAGTGAGAGCGAGTCACTGTATTCCAATCGTCGGTTAATTAATATACAAGGAAACGAATAGAATAAAGTAGAATTATTATGTGGAATCCACGTCACACCTAGCTTTTGTGGACTCAAAATTATATTTCATTCTTCATTCAATTGTAAAAAATTTAAGAATTAGATTATATATTTTTGATGAGTTGGATGGCCAATTATATATGGTATATTGTGTCCAAAAAAAAAAAATTATGATTAGAATTGGATTACTAGAAGGATCAAGATGCAGAAAACCAAAGCTTCGATACTAAACTACATGTTGACAGTGACCATAAGCAAGTAATAAAAGGCATTTGATTCCTCAAGAAAATTGGTCTCCTGCACTGTCCTTTTTCTATTTAGTTATACAATCGATCTTGAGGGAAGGAGAATCGAACTTAAGATCTCGTAAACAGATACCCTTAATCACTTGAGTTACAAGCCTCTCTCACCTTTCTTTAGTAATTCTTAGTGTGATCCTAATATTTCAAAAGCCTCAAAAACAGCATCAATGTATTATGGGGAAGCATAGTCTCACTAAACACAAGGAGAGTACGGAGAATACAAAAGTCACAAAAGCTGATAAGGCAAACCGTTTTGAAGAAAGAAAAATTTAATGAGGCTCCCTCCATTTCATTGACCTGAAAACCGACTCACCCCATTTCCCATTTTCTTCTCACATCCTTCGTGTCCATTTTCTGTTGCCTCCACGTTTTCTAATGGCCTCTTACTCACACGTCCTTTTGGTTAGACATCAACAACACCAACCCTTTTCTCCAACTTTCAAACGCACCCAAACCCACCTCTGCTTAAGCCCCTTCTCTGTCCTTTTGCTCACAAATTGTACAAGAGAAGTTCTCTAAAGCTGTTGTTGCACCATGAGGCTTTACGGGTATGTAATGGAAGCTCAAGACTTGCATGTGAAGGAGTCTTATGTGAAGCTTCAGGTTCGGAGGCACAAGTCCAAGACCAGGATTTTGAGAAATACCACCAACCCAGTTTGGAATGAAGAGTTTGTTTTCAGGGTTCATGACATGAATGAGGAGGAGCTTCTTGTGTCTGTGTTTCACCATGACGACGAGTCTGGCTTGTTCAATGGCGATGACTTAGTGGGTCGGGTTCGGATTCCGGTCTGCTCTGTTGCTGCTGAGACTAATTGCACCCTGCCGCCAGCTTGGTATTCTCTTGAAAGTCCCAAGACTGGGAAATTTATCAATAAAGACTGTGGTTAGTATACTTCTATGTCTGTTTGCCTTGTTTTCTTTCAATGGTGGCTTTCAAGATTGTGTTTTTGTAGATTAGTACTGCATATGGTTGGTGATTCTTAAAAAGTTCAGACTTTCAAGTAGAACTTGGATTTACATTGATCTTACCGCATTCTATCTACTTTCTCATACGATAAAGATATTGTATATCCAATGAGGAGGAGTTGCTATGAAGATGATGAGAAATGCTGGTTCGCTTGCCAATAACTGTTTTGATTGTTGTAGTGGATAATGGATTCGGAAAATTTAAGCACAATGAGTTATGGTGAATTCATTTGTGCAGGTGCATTTGAAATCGAATGAAAATAGCGCGTGTTTGACCCTTTTAATGGGTTGTTGTCTTGTCATAGCTTTTAAACAAGATTATTGATGTCCTGATGTATATTAGTTTCGTCAAGGGTGATGATGATTGTTCATTCTCCACGTGAATTTCTTGCCTCACATCTTAAGGAAATAAAAATATGCAATGTTCAAGGTACGAGTTATCTATTTAAAAGACAAAAGTTAGGGTGTGTTTTTCTCAGTAGCCCTAGTAGTCAGTAGTTCTGCAGTAAGTATATTTTTCTTCCTCTTAAATGTTGGGAGCAGTTTGCAGTTTATCACCTTGTTATGTGATCATGGGAAATATTCGGGTAAGAAGTAATCTTTGTTTACTAAATTGACTAGATTGTCTTCCTGTTAGGCCTAACGTTTAGTTTGTCAAATGAAGTTGCTGACTCGGGCATTGATGTGGTGCATTATTGTCCTACTAGCATTTTCGCATCAACCGAGATCTCTATATTAATTGTGTAGAATTTTTGTACTACAAATGCAGGGAAAATTCTTCTTACTCTTTCTCTGCATGAAAAAGGCCATGATAACCTCCTTTGTGCGCAGTCAAATATAAGCATTGAGGAACCTAAAGAGTTGGACTGTCCATTTATGTCATCTCACGGTGTATTTGGTTCCAAATCTCCATGTGCGAAGATACTAGGAGGGAAACAGTTAATGAAGGCTATTATAAGACATGCGGACAAGCTTTTGCATAAGAACGATGAAGCTTTGAAAACAGATGATTCTTCAGAGTTTTCTAGTTCAGTATCTGACTATGAAGATTGTGTGGAGGAACATCATACTATTTGTAGCTTTGACGAGTCTCTTGAGCTGATGCAGTCGAGAGTAAGCAAACAACAAATGCCAGAGAATCTGCAGGGGGGAATTCTTAATGATCAGGCATACTTTGTCTCACAACATGATCTTAATGCATCTCTTTTCACCCCAAATTCACAGTTCAGGAGAGAGCTGGCGGAACTTCAGAGGACAACAGATGTACATGAGGGGCCTTGGACATGGACATCCGGAGAGATCCCATGTTTGACACGATTTGTTACCTACACAAAAGCTGCCTCAAAGTTAGTTAAGGCTGTTAAAGCCACAGAGGAGCAAACATACATGACAGCCGATGGAAAGGAATTTGCTGTATTGGTCGGTGTGAGTACACCTGATGTTCCATATGGAAATTCATTCAAGGTTGAGTTGCTTTACAAGATAATGCCTGGACCAGAGCTACCTTCAGGAGAAGAATCCTCCCGTCTTGTGGTATCCTGGGGCGTTAACTTTCTCCAGAACACATTGATGAGAGGCATGATTGAAGGAGGAGTTAAGCAGGGACTTGAGGAGAGTTTTGATCAGTTTTCCAGCTTGCTGGCTCAGAATTTTAAAACGCTGGATTCCACAGACTTGTCTGACAAGGATCATATCTTGGCAAGTACGCAGGCAGGACATCAATCAGATTGGGAGTTGGCAAGAAAATACTTCTGGAATCTCACTCTAGTTACCACTACTTTTATGGTTCTGTATGTCCTGGTTCATATTCTGCTTTGTGAGCCCAGTAAACTCCAAGGATTGGAATTTAATGGACTTGATTTGCCAGACACTGTCGGAGAGCTCATCACATGTGGAATTCTAGTCCTTCAATTGGAGCGCGTCTATAACACGGTTTTACACTTTGTACAAGCTAAGTTGCAGAAAGGTAAGCACATTATCTTGCATGACATGAATTTTACTAAAATATTCGAGCCTACAGCACCTTCGCATTTGAGGTTGCATCTTTAACATTGTCCTGGGATTTACACAAGCTGGCCATCTATTACAACAGGAAGTGATAATGGAGTCAAAGCCCATGGTGATGGATGGGTTCTTACCGTTGCTTTGATTGAAGGGAACAACTTAGCATCCTTGGATTCATCAGGGTTCTCTGATCCCTATGTGGTTTTCACCTGCAATGGTAAAACAAGAACAAGTTCTGTCAAGCTTCAAACTAATGATCCTCAATGGAATGGTGAGGACTTTTTTATTCTTTTTCAATTTCTTTTCACCCATATATTGACTTATGGCTCATGGAAAAATGATGCAGAGATACTCGAGTTTGATGCTATGGAAGAACCTCCATCAGTTTTGGACGTTGAAGTTTTTGATTTTGATGGTCCTTTTGACCAAGCTATGTCACTTGGGCATGCTGAGATCAATTTTCTTAAACACTCAGCTACGGAACTCGCAGACATGTGGGTCTCCCTTGAGGGAAAGCTTGCTCAGTCTTCTCAGTCAAAGTTGCACTTAAGAATCTTTTTGGACAATAACAAAGGAGTTGAAACAATCAGGGAGTATATGACCAAAATGGAGAAGGAAGTTGGAAAGAAGGTGAGGACTTTGTATCATAATTTCTTCTTTCTTGAGTTTCCCACTTAGCATCACAAATTCTACATGATAGTACAGAACTCTCCTGTACCTGAGTTTCCCACTCATAGGTTATATTTTTGTTGCTTGTTGGTGCCTTCTGCATGTTTAAAATGCTTCTGTTAAACCTACAATTGAGCCTCGTTTCTACTGTAGAAGTTGATCTAACTCCTTCCTTGGTTTTTTGACAGTTGAATCTACGATCGCCTCATAGAAATTCAACATTTCAGAAATTGTTTGGGTTGCCGCCAGAAGAATTTCTTATCAGTGATTTTACATGCTCCCTGAAGAGGAAAATGCCTTTACAGGTGCCAGCTTTAGTTTCTAGGATGCTATTCTACTACTTGAAAAGAATAAATTACAGTCAGAATTCATAGTTCTTGACTCTCAACTAAAGATTTTCTAGATCTTCTAGCAACTCTATTAAATCTGGTATTTTTTGACCTCAATTTTACATTATAAGAATGATATGATTGCTTCTATGTGTGAGAGTTTGTCAGTTGCTTGAGGAATGAAAATGTATTGTACTCAGCTTTATAAGTGATCAGTGGCTTAAGACGAAACCTGTGTGCGTGGCGTGTGTGTGTGTGCATATCTGCTTTATACTTTTAGTGTCTCTTATGATGACTTTTTGTTGCAGGGCCGACTCTATCTTTCTGCGAGGATAGTTGGGTTTTACGCAAACTTGTTCGGACACAAAACAAAATTTTTCTTTCTTTGGGAGGATATTGAAGATATCCAAGAGCTTCCCCCATCCTTATCATCTGTAGGTAGCCCTTTGCTGGTCATTGTTCTGAAAAAGGATCGAGGTCTTGATGCAAGGCATGGTGCGAAGTGTCAAGATGAAGAAGGCAGGCTTAGATTTCATTTTCAATCATTTGTGTCATTCAATTCAGTCATCAGGTAGTGGTGTTGGGAAACTACATAGTCAAGCAATCACATTCAAGACAAAGATGATTTCCTTTTGTCCAAAGTATTTGTACATATAGAAGGCTTTCGATGACTGATTAAGTTTTCCTGGCAGGACAATAATGGTTTTGTGGAGAACAAGAACACTGAGTCCTGATCAGAAAGCACAAATTTCTGAAGAACATAATAATCAAGAAGACAGGTCCACAATGCTTGAAGACACTGAATCCATACTTAATCTTGAGGATGTAAAGATGTCCAAAGTTTATACTGCAGAACTACCTATTAACGTAAGTCGTCAGTTCGTTCTTTACCCCTTGTTTATTGCTTTGTTAAGTGTTAGTGTAGGCTTCTGCACGATTTGTTATTCAGCTTTGAACTTTGTTTCATTAGTAAAAACAAGGGATTAGACTCAAAGAATAATGCTCTTTTGGTCAATCAAGACTGTTGCTCAAAACATGTGAGACTAACAATATCAAAACTATATATAAGCATTCATTGAAGATAAGCATTCTTGAATGAATGGTTCAGTGATTGGAGTTGTTTTTCTTAACAATTATATGTTAGAAGAGGCCTTTTGAACTTGTAGTTGGATCTGAACTATAAGTTAAGCAAATATCTGAAAATTACAGATTGATCTAGACGTCATAAACTTACATATACCCATTAGATTTGTTGTACTAGTACTGAGACTCTGCTGGACAATGGTGCAGACAAGATCTCTGATGGAAATGTTCGAAGGAGGAATGTTGGAGCACAAAATCAGGGAGAAATCGGGTTGTCTTAACTACACAACTACTGCATGGGAACCTACAAAAAAGCCGGATGCGTTTGAGCGTCATCTGTCATACAGATTCAACCGCCAAGTTTCGATCTTTGGAGGAGAGGTCACATGCAGACAACAAAAAACTCCCATTGAAGATGGTCAAGGATGGGTTGTGGACGAAGTTATGGCCCTGCACGGCGTTCCATTTGAGGATCACTTTCGTGTATGTGACATGAAATTCAAAATTGCTAGCTTTTTGTATCACTTATCATCTCTTGAAAATTAAGATAGATTTTCTTTCTTCATGCAGGTTCAGTTTAGGTACCAGATTGAGAATTCTACCCTAGCTCATAATGCATGTAAATGCAATGTTCATGTCAGGGTCACCTGGCTTAAAAGTACAAAGTTTCAGGAGAGGATCACACACAACATTACAGGGAAGTTTGCCCATCGACTGAAGGAAATATTCGAATTCGTAGAGAGGGAGATTCTCTTGGCACCAAGACAAGAAGACACTTCCCTTTGACATATACTTTATCATTCACATTCGGATAGAACATAAATTCTTTTTGTGCTCAAGTCCTGAAGCTGATAGCACATTAGCAATGTAGTTGAAAACAGGACATTCTCTTTAAAAGAAACTTTTCTTTTCCTACTTTCTTCACTTTCATTATAGTTATTTTGGGACTCAATTGTTAATATTTTTTTTTTATTGAACAAAAGTTTAGGGGGAGGGGAGGCTATTCCATCCAAGGGCCGGGCATACCAAGGCCTCTTTGAAGACTTACAAAGGGGGTCTTTGCCCCTTTTTGAGTTTTTATGAGACTCGAACTTAGGCTTGGATAGTGAATAAAACGATCCTTACCAATTCAATCAACCCTCATCGGAGACCCAATTGTTAATTTAGATTCAGTAATTAAAGGTAAAATAATAGAAAGTGTTACCAATAATCCATGGTATGTTACATCTTTTTTGCCGCCAATTGTATACAAAAAGAGAAAAGGTTGACGCCAATGATGTCCCATATATTTTCTCATAATATTCTTTTGCCGCCCTATGTGAACAATCCACGAAAGGTAAAGTTTTTAAAAGTCAAGGGCTCAAGGACTTGGAAATCTTTATAGTCTCTGATTTATTTTCTCCAACTTCAATGTTTTCGTTTCTTCATTATCCATCTGTTACCTTGTTTTGGTGGAGCTATGGCGTCCACCACAGTTATCAAGGTGCGATATTTTGGAACTTCCAAGGTAAGAATTTAATTTAATTTATTTAGTTTCAAGTAGGGTTTGTTATGCTCTATCTGATTGTTGAGAAAAGTTTGGGGAAGAGATGAGAATTTGTAAAATTCCACATAGAATTGAGTTTATAGATTGATAAATTGGAATATGGAATTTTGATCCTTGGCATCCCAGATTGATAATTTTGATAATATCTGGGAAAGACTTCATCTTTTTGAAAGTTTGATCGTTACTGGCCTTACATGAGGTTCAATGGTGAAAAGGGTTGATCTGACTAAATCTGATTAGTTTTTGGTTAGAGGTGGGTCAAATTTGGAAAAGAAATTGTTTGCACTTATAGAATTTGGGGACAGATTTGATTTTGTTTTCCATTTGTACAAGTTTTGTTGGTCATATTGAATCAGTCAGAAGTTTTGATCTTTCAAATTGTGTTATGTATTTATTTGGTTGCTTTTGAATGTTTCTAACAAGTTGCTGGTTGTGCTAAAGGTTAAACTTGGGGACAAACTGAGGTATTTCAAAGCTTGTGTTGATAAGAATGGTGAACTTGATCTTAACATGGCTGGATTGAGGGAAAAAATTTGCGGTCTTTTTCACCTCCCACCTGGTGCTGACATTACTCTAACATATATCGATGAAGACAAGGATGTAGTAACTCTCGTGGACGATGATGATCTGCGAGATGCAATGAGGCAGCATCTTAAGTCATTTAGAATTGATGTACTGATGAATGATGACAAAGATGTTGGTAAATATTCAAGCTCCAAAAGAAGTAAAAGTCAAGGGAAGGATGCTGCTAATGTGACAAGTGATATGGAGATGGTGGTTCAACCTTACCCTGATTATTTTGATGATCTTGATTTCCTCGCTGATTCTGGGGAGACCAACAAGGCTTCTAGCACAAGTTCTGCTTCTCCTCCATGTCATAATGAAGATATGAGCAGAAGCAATGCTCCTCCACATTATAATCACCCTGTTTTTCCAACTGTGGCATGTCTTGAATCTGGAGCCGTAGGTGGTATGATGTGTCACACGGGTTTTCGGTGCAGCATCTGTGGTTGCAATCCAATACTTGGATCCCGGTTCAAGTCGATAGTGTAAGGAAGGAACTTATTGTGTATGTCTCTGATCAAATTGTCAATAAGCTGCTGATGGAACATGGTTACATGGTTGAACTCTTTTACTGATGCCTTTTATTTTTATTTCTCTGGTTTGTTTTCTGCAGGATTGAAGATTATAGCCTCTGTCGAATCTGTGTTACGAGTTGGGGTAATGTGACTGATTACATTAGGATTGACCTCCCTGTGTCTCCAAAAGGGGATGTTTGAGCAAATTGACCACATTGTGCTTGGTCAGGGTTGTGCTCATAGAAAGAGGCCTTGTTGCTTTGGCTAGTGCAGCAATTTTGAGTCTGATGGCCAAAGGTTCACAAGGTTTCAAGGAAGCTGATTGGTTGGAATATGATAGCTTTTTTTCTTTTCTTTCTCTCTGATATGAGTTGATTTTCTTTTTCTCTGTGGAGTTGCCCTTGCAAATTTTTGTGCATTGTGTGGCTTTGAAATTACATGCTGGCTTCCAATTAGATGTTCTGTAACCATTGGAATAAATTTGTGGTCGAGGTTTGTTACAGTTTTGTAAAATACAAAAAAGAAGTGTGCTCAAATCAAACTTTGATGAGGATTTACCCTACCACTTTTACATCAAACTCCCAAATTATCCAAAAAGGAGAAATATATACAAAGTCAACATCATTATTCTCTCATCCCATTTTCATTAGCTCGTGCTTGATAATTCTATATTTATCAAGATATGAGTGTGGAACATCTGATCGTTATATGGTGTTACAGTTCACTTACATTATAACACGTATTTTATATATCAATATTATACCTTGATATGAGATATATAAATACATTATCAACCCATATTTATCACTTAAATTAGTAACACTACACAACAATTAAACCTCACACCCAAGAATTTTCCCGACAATAGAATTACACGCATGGGTGAAATTTAAGGAGAAAAAGAAAAGCTATATTCCAAGTCCAACAAAGAAGAAAAAAGAAAAGAACCATAAGGTGTGGTGCGGTTGGTAAACTATTACCTCAAGTTGGCGAGCTACCCGGTGCCTCAATAACATGGGTTTAAAATCTGTTGGAAGCACTTTGTGACTAGGGGCAAGCCGAACATCGAGCGGAGATTAATCCCACCCTTCGGGTGTGGGGACACCTTCTGTTATTTACCAAAAAAAAAAAGAAAAAGAAAAAAGAAAGCCACATCAATAGCGTACATGTGGCGTCTGTAAAAACAAATTAAACAGCAACTAGTGCTATAAATCCACGTATGAGATTCCAAATATTTACGATGGTCTCTAAACCAGCAGAGTATTTCCACGCCTTAATAAATCCGCAACTATCTTTGGCGAGAAGAAAGCCAAAAGTCGGTCTAATTTTCTTATTCGCTAAGCTAAAGTGATTTATAAATACACAGCGTATCAATGCTTTCGTTTTGCAGAGGAGGTAGAGAGAGAAAGAGAGGCGGTAATAGCGGCTGACGGGTACGCTTGGGCTCCGATATAACCTACGATTTTCTCGTTCTGAACGGTACTATATCATCTAGGGTTAGGGCTAGGGTTTTACTTTTAGATTGGATTTGTAGAACACTTGTTCTCTGCTTGTTTCTGGAGCCATGGCGTCAACCATGGTTATCAAGGTACGATTTTTAGTAACTTTTATGATAGAATTTGATTTTTTGCCTATTGGGTTTATTTATGCTCTTTTTCGTTGACATGAAATGTCTGGGGGAAGACGGGAATTTAAATTTGACATGGAACTGAACTAGGGGATGGAACGGGGCTATAGATTGAAGAATCTATGTTTGTTTTTCCTAATTGGAGAGGGTGGATGAAATTATGATTTCGAATATTGAGTTTTCTGAATCTTGGTAGCTTTATTAGATTGACTGTTTTCTTCATTTCTGGGAAAATTGTACGTTCTCTGAATGATCGGACCGCTAACTGGCCAACCATAGATGGGGCTCAATGGTGGCAGTTTTTGTTAAGCTTACCTCGATTGGTTTGATTGTAGATGGTTTGAATTTGGGAAAGTTTGTTTGGGTTTTCACTTCAGAGTCTATGGTCAATTTTGATTTCTTTTTGTGTCATCATGGAAATAGCTAAGCATCGAGTCTTTTTCCACGCCAGATGATGACATCATGTTATACAATTACCAAACGCCCTTAATGGGTGATTAATGTTTTGTTTTCAAATTGTTTTAAATGTTCTAGCCTAATATCGGGATGTTGTATAGCTAACTGTTTGTTACTGTCGTAAATGAGTTGAAAGCATATGATGCCATCAAATTACATTTTGTGGTTATTTGGTTACTTTTGAATGTACTAACATGTCACTGGATGTTTTGAAGGTTAAGTATGGGGATACACTGAGGCGTTTCAATGCTCTAGTCGATGAGAAAGATCAACTGGATCTTGACATGAGTGGACTGCGAGCGAAAATCTTCAGTCTTTTCAATTTCCATCCTGATGCTGACATCGCTATGACGTACATTGATGAAGATGGAGATACAGTAACTCTTGTTGATGATGATGATCTGCGTGATGCAATGAGGCAGCAGTTGAAGTTCTTGAGAATTGATGTACATATGAACAATGACAAAGCTGGCAAGTCATATGCCAAATCAAGTGGAAGTTCTACTCCATTAAGGTCTCCCAAAGGCACATCTCCAATCCTAAACTTCAAAACTGGCGCTGCTGAAGTTTTGAAGTCCTTGCCAGAGCCGCTTCGTGAATTTGTTTCTAAGTTGCACCTTGAGTTGGCTTCAAAGGCTGAATCCTCTAGTCCAGTGCTTGCAGACCTTGTTGACCTTTTTTCAAACATGGGGATATCCTACTTGATTCCAGATTCCCAGGTTCCGGTCGGTGGAGATTCAGCCACACAGAGTGGTTTCTCGAAGATCCCTATGGCTCCATCAGCTGCCGCTAATTTAAATGATGCGAAGGATGATGGCAAGTCAGGACCCATCCCGAAGTCAGCATTTGAGGAATCAAGCTCCAAAAAAGGTCAGGCAATGGGCGCTGTGAATGTCACTATGGATGTGGGGTTGTCGGTTCCACCTTGCCATGCTACTGTTGATCTCAATTCACTTCCTACTGATTTTAATCCATCCGGACCCGCACCAGTGAATTGTGCACCAGTGGGATCAAGTCTTCACACTAGTGATGAGAGGAAGGAGACTAAGGAGTTTAACAGTCCTTTTTATCTTCCACAGAAAAATTTCGAGAAGTCTCTTGGTTGTGGAGCGTCTACAAGTTCTGCTATCCCTGTGATTAATGATATGAGCAGTAATCATTTCAACGAATGTCCATTTTCAGGGACTGCAATTGCAAACCCGTCAGCCACTCCTGTTGCATGTCGACGAATTCCTTTTAAAAGGAATCACTCTGAAGCAATGGGTGGCATGTTCCACACAGGAGTTCGCTGTGATGGCTGTGGTTGTCATCCAATAATTGGTCCTCGGTTCAAGTCCGTAGTGTAAGGATGAAAAACTAATTATATCTCTGATGCTAAGATGGTAACGAAACATTATTGATTTATCATAGTTGATGTTATTTGTGGTTTGCTTTCTGCAGGAAAGAAGATTATGACCTCTGCCGTATCTGTTATTCAAGTATGGGTAATGCGAGTGATTACATTAGAATTGACCACCCTGTGTCGTATCGGCATCCACGGCCCTTCAAGGGGATGTATGAGCAAGTGTGTACATTCCTAAGATGTTATCTTCTGCTTTTTATACCATTGTTATTTTTATCATGAATTTGACCTTTTCTTTTTATCTTCAATGACAGCCTCCATGGGTTGGTCCTCCAGTATTGCCAAAAATCTTGAGAGGTTGTAGTATGAAATCAGGCCGTCCTAAGCTTGACAGCCGCTTCGTATTGGATGTCAATGTGATGGATGGTACCTTAATAGCCCCATCTACTCCATTTACCAAAATATGGCGGATGCGCAACACTGGTGGTTTGATCTGGCCTCAAGGAACACAACTCATGTGGATTGGGGGAGACAGATTTAGCAAATCAGATTCAGTTGAGATAGAGGTAGCATAACTTTGACAGTTTTCTGGAATTCCTCGAGTAATGTTTATTAGTTTCTTATTTATTTCCTTTCCATATTTCTTGAGTTTTACATGCCAATTTTCGTCCACTTCCATTTCAATTCTTTTATTTGTGTTTTTTGTAAAAATATCTTGATTCTTTTCAGATTCCTTCTCATGGTGTGTCTGCTGACTATGAACTTGACGTTGCTGTTGATTTTACTGCACCTGAGTCACCTGGTAGATACATCTCGTATTGGAGGATGGCATCTCCATCTGGACAAAAGTTTGGGCAACGTGTTTGGGTTCTTATCCAGGTATTTTCCTCATTACAAGTCAGATATGATTGTGATCCTTTTGATGACTTTCACTTTAATTATCCTTTCTGGCGGATGCTTCCCAGAGTAACTTTACGTCTGAGGCCCGTAGTTAGACAAATTTACTTATCTTTTGGCCTCCTGTGCAGGTTGATGCTTCCTTGAAGGATTCATTCTTTGGGAGCTTTCAAGGTTTAAACCTGAATCTTCCCCCTGAGATTTGTGGTTCTAAAGAACCTGAAAAAATAGATGTCAACCTTGAACCAGCTGCTGGAAATGACTTTATCGAGCCCTCTGGCTCCAGCTCAGTTAAGGAGCCAGTGAAGCTCATGCCTCATGAACAGCCAGAAAATGACCAGGAGCTCCACTTCCCTATAAATGATAACTTGCTGGTTGGCCACCGTGGTTCAGCACCTACTGAGCCGCAGAATTCTTCAACTGTGTCGTATCCAACTGTTGATATCTTTGAATCAGCACCACCCTCCCCCAAATCGGCACCTGTTGTCAATGCACCAACATCAGCTAAAGGGACCAGTTCAAATAATGGCGTGGAAGACACCCTCCTTAAGGAGCTTGAGGAGATGGGGTTTAAGCAGGTCAATTTGAACAAGGAGATTCTGCGTAGGAATGAGTACAACCTGGAGCAGTCTGTGGATGACCTCTGTGACGTTGCTGACTGGGATCCTATCCTTGAAGAGCTGCAGGAAATGGTAAGTTGTCCAAGCCAAGCATGATGAAGTATTGGACGTTTTGTCTCTCTTTATAGTTTTTGGTATATGTGAGACTTTCAGAGCCATAAGTTCTGAATAGTGATCGCTTTTGTGCAGGGCTTTTGTGATGCGGAAATGAACAAGAAGCTGCTTGTGAAGAACAATGGGAGCATCAAGCGTGTGGTTATGGATCTCATCAATGGGGAGAAGCTTTAGATGAAAGACAACTACTACTAATAATAATAAGTCTTGTTATTATAAATGGTACATATATATATATATCAGAAATAATGGACTGGCATTTGCCATGCGATGTGATGCTTTGCTTTGGACCATGTGCACCTTTTGCTTAGTATGTAATTATGTATTTAGTATTTATACTGATATCTAAGTTATGGATTTGAATTTACTATATTTATGGATTTGCCTATCATTTTTATTTATTTATTTATAGTTTGGTTGGGCAATTAAGGGGTCTCGTCACTGAGCCATCTCGTGTGCATTTGGAACTTACCAGTCTTGCACGGCAATTTGAAAGGTTGAAGCAACATTTCTCTTTTTATAGTCGATGTTTCAACATGTCTCTCTCCTCTTCTTTACCACCGATTGCCTCTCATCTTTTTAACTGCCCCCACCCCTCAGCAGCATTAGCTGCCACAGTTTTCCCTCCTTTGTGAGGTGGAAGGCATATATGATTTGCCCAATAGTGAAATGCATCAACACTGAAATGCCTGCCAACGGTCTAGCATAGTGAAAAGTGAAAAAGGGCAGGGCATTAGCTTATAAATAAGAGGTCTCATATTGTAATTCCCATGGCATTTTAGTCGTGTGTGAAATCCTCCCTTCTTGTAGTTTAGACTATTGCTTGTAGTAAAAAAACATTGAAATGCCTTTGCCAATCAGGTCTAGTCCAATGGAAAAGGGCCCTGGCTTGCAGATTAGTGGTCTCAAATTCAAACTTACATGACACTTTGATAGTTTGAAAAATCCCCTCTCTTTTGTAGTTTAAACTCTCACTTGTATTAAAAAACACTGAAATGCCTTCAATCTTCTGACTAACAGTTGATGGTGGATTTTGGGTTTGATGTGCCAAACTTGTAAATGCATCATAATTAGACCATGTTCAAAGTTAAAGGCATATGCAACTCCCAATTATGGTTTTGTTCTTCTTAGATTTCCATCACAATTTGGTACCAAAATAGTTGGTGTCAAAGCCTAATGAATTCCTATATCATCTTTGTTTCAGTCAAAGCCTAGCTTCCATTGAAGTGAAGTACACGTAGACCAAAGGTAGTCCAGTCCAGGCTCTTCTAGTCTTCTTATTCAGTGGCTTTACTAGTTTACCCCCCATGTTGGCAAGATCAGTTTCCATGTGCTCTTGATTTGTTTATTGGATGGCTCCCAGAGGCTTAAACTACAATATTCATTACTCTCTCTCTCTCTCTCTCCCTCTCTCTCTCACCAAATTCTTAAAAGTTGAAACATAGACTCAATCCCCTTCCATGATTCCGTCTGCAGATCAAACCCATTTAATTAATCTCAATGGTGGCCATGGAATTTTAATGAAACTACTCTAGTTCTTCTCACTGGGAAGAGCTTGCTTATTGGTTCCCTTTCCTGGTTTGCCTTTCTGAGGGATCTTTCTCTTTTCCCCATAAAAGTTTTCAAGAAAAATCTCTTTGGGCATTGAGCTTTTGTTTTGGGGTCTGCTGTCACAATCTCTCTCTGGTAGAACATGTGGGATTCCATGCTTTTGCCTCCTCTAAGGGCATGTAAGTTTATCCAGTACCTCCTGTGAGTTTTAAGCTCTGGGCCTTTTATTCTTGAGATGTGTTTAGCAGGCACAACACACACTGCAACCCGCTCTGCTGCACAACATGTCTTGTTTAGTTTCTCTTTCATGTCAGCTTATCCATCCACAGCTTTAATCAATGATCTTTTCAAAGCTTTCCCTTTTGGGTTCTGAACATATATGATTTTGCTATGACATGGATGATGGGTGCTAGAGTTCATTCCTAGATTTTGATGTTGAATTATTTCCTTGTATAGAAAGATGGAATCTGGGAGTAGGTTTTACTCAGCTGATGCTGATGAGTTCAGATTGGATGCAAAATGGCTGATTGATCCTAAGCATCTGTTCGTTGGGCCAAGAATTGGAGAGGGAGCTCATGCCAAAGTGTATGAGGGCAAGTAAGTTATGTAGCTTTACTCAAGTTTCAATTTTTCTCACTTCAATAGTTTGGTTTGCATAAGTGAATACCTTGTGTGTCTTGATTTTGGGCAATGCCATTTCCGCGGCTTGCCATTTCTATTAGTTGAGAAAAATACTGTTTAGATTTGCAAGTTTTTGGGCCATCTTTCTTTAGATTCGACAAACCATTAAGTTCTTTGCTGGGAATAGTCATATCTTTTCTGCATTGTTCTTTTTTGTGTTTGCATTCTCAGCTATATTTGGGGTTCTGCTGAACATGTAATCTATTCCGGTAGGATCCTAGAAATGGTTAAGTTTTCACTGAATTGTACCTCAGTAGTTGCCGATGAATTTGGTTTGAGCACAAAAATTGAGTTTTTAAGCTATTAGACTGCAAGTAATTATAGTTCAATTTTGCGTCCTGTTATGCTGCAGTTATCTCACTCCATTATATTTCGGCTTTTTGGATTCCAATCAGATACAAAAACCAGACTGTTGCAATTAAAGTTGTTCATAGAGGAGAAACTCCGGAGGAGATCGCCAAGAGAGAAGGACGGTTTGCCAGAGAGGTTGCAATGTTGTCTAGAGTTCAACATAAAAATTTAGTGAAGGTTGGATTTAATTTGAAAATTATGGTGGTCATTTGCCTAAGTTCTATAGTTTGTAAATCATTGTGGTGACTGGTGACAATAGTCAGATTATGTAGTCATAAATATCAAATTGTTGTGTGTCAACATAAATAAAACTACCTTGCCTCTCTACAGTTTATTGGTGCCTGCAAGGAGCCAGTAATGGTGATCGTTACTGAGCTTTTACTGGGAGGTACATTGCGTAAATATTGTCTGAACATGCGGCCAAGGTGCTTGGACATACGCATTGCTGTTGGTTTTGCACTCGATATTGCTCGTGCAATGGAGTGCTTGCACTCTCATGGGATCATACACCGTGATTTGAAGCCTGGTAACTTTTCCTTCCCCAGTTTTAACCCCTTTGAATTCAATAGGTGTGATTAGGTTTCAGAAGGTTTAGATTCACAAACTGTATCAGAATTGGATCACATTCTATAGATAAGTTCTTTATTCTCAATGTAGTTCTCTGTTTACATTTTTCTTTTTCTTGTCTTGTATTTTTCTCTAATAATGACTAACCAATTCTGATGACTCTGTATTGTCATATTTATTTTGTATGTAATCAATATCTTCTGACTTTTGTCTGCCATAACTGCTCAATCACCCAACTTTCTTTTGGTATTAAATTATTAATAACTCTTGTCCTTGTTTGCATTACCACGAAAAATTTCGTCACTGCTGGTGATACCTTCAGCTGGGTTTTCCTTTCTGAAATGTTATAGTCTTATATTTAAGTTGCCAATTTTGACTGCATTATACTTTAGGAAGATGGCCCTTCAAACAAGATAGTTTCTGTTTGTTGAATGATTTCTTTGTATATAGCATGATTTAATGCATTGATGTGGATGGGTGAACCATTTGTTACATTTCTAAGTGTGCATTTGTGCATTATTTGTATTTATTGGGAAAATATATATAGTTAGCTACTTAATGAAGATGGGTTCGGTGAGTTAGTTGCTGTGTTTTGAAAGTGTAAAGTTTGTTTTCTTTTTTTCAAAGTAATGACTGGTCTGCCATTGGTATTAGTTAATGCATTGATGAGGTTGGCTGAATTAGTTGCTGTGTTTTGAAAGTGTAAAGTTTGTTTTCTTTTTTTCAAAGTAATGACTGGTCTGCCATTGGTATTAGTTAATGCATTGATGAGGTTGGCTGAATTAGTTGCTGTGTTTTGAAAGTGTGAAGTTTCCTATGTGATATCTTTGTACTCATTTGCTTATTTATTCTTTACATTTTTTATGGTGCAGAGAACCTACTCTTGACGGCAGACCACAAAACAGTTAAATTAGCAGATTTTGGGTTAGCAAGAGAAGAGTCATTAACAGAGATGATGACTGCAGAAACTGGGACATACCGTTGGATGGCTCCAGAGGTACTGCACTCCTTCCCCAGCTCTCTTGTGTATTGTCATGCATAAAATTCCTGGCTTATTTGAGTTGCTTTACCTATTTGTTTGCAGCTGTACAGTACTGTTACATTAAGGCAGGGAGAGGGAAAGCATTACAACCATAAAGTGGATGCCTATAGCTTCGCAATCGTTTTGTGGGAACTCTTACACAACAAGTTGCCTTTTGAAGGCATGTCAAATCTCCAGGCAGCATATGCAGCTGCATTTAAAGTAAACATATCTTCCCCATCTATACGATATTTCCCATCTTAATTATTTTAGTTACTTTCCAAAATGCTTGTGGTACTCCTAAGTTTTACTGATGATGTAAGGGTTATTTTGCATTTCAGAATGTGAGGCCTAGTGCTGATGAGAACCTCCCAGAGGAATTGAATATCATCCTAACTTCCTGCTGGCAGGAGGACCCAAATGCTCGACCTAATTTCATTCAAATAATTCAAATGCTACTTGATTATCTTTACACCATATCTCCTCCTGAACCTGCAATTCCATCTCGAATTTTCACTGAGAACACTGTCTTGCCACCGGAGTCTCCTGGCACAAGCTCCTTGATGGCAGCACGCGATGGCTCAGGGGAGACACCCAAAGGAGAAATGGAAGACAAGCCAAAAGGATTTTTCTTCTGCTTTAACCAGTGTTATTGAGTGCTGATTAGTTTATGAGAAGATCTATAACCTCTGCCCTTCCTTCGGGTCAATAATGTTCGGAGGGCTCCTAAACAATAGAATCTAGTCCGATTAAGTACATTTTGTTAACATGGTAAATGTTTAAGCTGATCAAAATCAATGTTCATCAAGTTCAATTGTCAGATGAATTCACCACTTTGTATCTATTGAATGTTCCACTGGATCTAGTCAACATGTAGGATCTTACTTGCGATTCAATATCTTTAACATCTAGTAGCTAATAGTTTGGAGCTGGGTTTCATTGTGAAGCTTGAATTTAAATTTTTGGACGTAATTTTATCCCAACTGACAATTTGAATTGCATCCCAAGAATTGGCTCAATCAATATCATGAACATGAATTACATGATACTAACTGGAAAATTTGCTTTAATTCAAAAATATCTTTTAACATTTTAGGAATTGCATGGCTGGGACTAAGGATGCACTAGAAACGCCTGTAGACAACATCTCAAATACAAGACAGGTTGTAGAATTCACCAATAGTCATTGCAGGAACATGACCCTTCTTTGAAATGATGGAAGCGGTTCCAGTCCCTAACAATAATTTGTCTGTTAAATACCTTTGATATCATCTTTGTTGCATTGTGGCAGTCCGTACAAACTCTAAGATTTTTAGATATTCTAAGTGTAGTTCCAGGAAGTGTTCTGATAAGACCAAAGGCAATGGCCAACTTCTCACTGTGGTGGGATACTGAAGCTTCCTTATCATCTTCCTCTGCATCTAGTCTTGCATCTGCTGTGTAGGGCACATAACCAGCTTCCTTAATCCGTTTCATCATGTCATGAGTTGCATTGTAAACCTCCTCCAAGTGTGGACATGCTTTGTCCTCAGCAAAGAACTCATAAATCACTCCTTCCAACTCAATCAAGCTACATCCCGGAGCCTTCTCTATTCCCTTTTCTCTCATTTGATTTCTCACCCGAATAGCATCCTCGCGCCTATCTACTGATGCGTAAATATTTGATAGCAGAATGTAGTCTCCACTATGAGGGGTCTCCAAACTGATTATGTATTTTAATGATTCTTCACCAATTTCAACATTTTTATGTGCTCTGCATGAAGCCAATAATGTCCTCCAAACAACTGCATTGGGTTGGATAGGCATGTTCTTGATGAACTGATATGCCTCTTCTATCAACCCAGCTCGACCCAATATATCAACCATAGAACCATAGTGCTCAATCCTTGGTTCAATTCCGAAATCTTTAATCATGCTGGTAAAAAGGTTTCGACCCTCATTAACCAGACCTGCATGACTACAAGCAGAAAGAACTGCGATGAAAGTCACATTATTTGGTTTTATATTCTTCTCCTGCATCAATTGAAAGTATTCAAGAGCCCCTTTTCCCTGTCCATTACTAGCAAGACCTTGAATTAGTGCTGTCCAGGAGAAGACATTTGTTGAAGGCATCCTATTAAATACTTCAATTGAACTATCTATACACCCACATTTTGCATAGAAATCAATTAGTGCAGTTCCAAGATTAACAGTGAGCTTCAGTTTCTTCTTCTTTATATAAAACTCAACCCATTTACCAGTTTTCAAAGCTCCAAGGACAGCGCACGAATAAAGAACACTAACCATGGTAACCTCATTGGGATCCACATTTGCCTTTTGCATGTCATGAAACAGATCAAGCGCCTCCCTGCATCTATTTGCTTGGCTATAACCAGAAATCATTGCACTCCACGCAACAACATCTCTTCGATCCATTCGATCAAAGAATCGTCTTGCAATCTCTACCTGACCGCATTTTGCATACATATCAACCAGAGAAGTGACTAAAGCAATGTTACCCTTGAGTCTATTTGCCTCTATATAGTCACCAATCCACCCTCCCAGTTCCAAATTGGCCAGTCTTCCACATGCTGTCAAAACACTAATCAATGTAACCTCGTCAAACCCAACACCCAGTTTCAACATTTCATGGAATAGCTTCACCACCTCGTCCCAACACTTGTTCTTCATGTAACCCGCTAACATCGAATTCCATGTCATACGAGCCCTTTCTGGCAATCCATCAAACACACGGCGGGCAACCTCAAGTTTCCCACAAGTTGCATACATATAAATCAAAGTGTTCTCAACGAACCCATTTGACTTAAACCCACATTTCACAATGTGGGCATGAATCTGTTCTCCTTCTCTCAATGCTCTTAGTTTAGAACAAGCCTTCAATATACTAGAAAGAGTGAATTCATCGGGTTCAGCCGAGCTTTCCTGCATTTGCTTAAACAAAAGAAAGGCTTCAAGAGGGGACTGCTTGTATGTGAGGCTCCTTATCATAACGTTATAAGCCAAAGTATCGGGTTCGTCGAGGTTGTGAAAAATGGAGAGAGCATAGTCCATGGTATTGGGGAGAAGTATGGCGGCAGATTCCAGGAGGTTTTCGGTGATGGCGGGGTTGAGGAAAAGGCGGGTTTTGATCAGGTGGGCATGCACTTGGTTGAGGTCTCTGGTGGTTTTGCATTGTTGGAGAATTAGGGTTTTAGGATTGTGTGGGAATTGGGGAATGGTCGTTATGGCAGTTAAGGGTTTGGCGGGAGAGATAGGAAGGGCTGTCAATGCCATTTTGTTCAATATTGGCTCTTTGTCAAGCTCTTAAATGTTACCCTGTCACTATAATAGTGTGGCTATAATAGTAGTATATGCAAAAAATGTGATGTTGCAGCTTATTTGGCATGTTATGTTTTTCGACTGAATTTAGACCACACATTCAAACAAGAATTCACTAAATGAACATTTTCATTAGAAAAAATTGCTCATTTTTCAAGATTCTAATGTGAAAATCTAGTGTGGTATTGAAGGCCAGCTAAGGTTTAAGAAAGTTTGGGAATGTAACATCATGATGGAGACTGATCTTGATATCCATTAATATATTATGCCTTTGGAGGATGTAAGGTTGAAAAAGAAGAAAAAATATCAAATTTTAGGCTCACCTCCTTCCAGCATTATTAGATTCATATGCTTGAATCAACTGTTTGATATAGACAAAAAGATAGAGAATTAGATGCCACACTTATCATCTTAGAATAAAGGCAAAACATTTCTGTCTATAAATTGAAGCTTAATGCTTCTAATACTTACAACTTGTGATTGCAGAACAATGAGCAGAAACTACGTGTACCCAACCAACCGCCAAAATGGCTCAGATTATTATTCTCATGTTCAAAGGATGGCAAGAGCCCCTAGTGTTCTCACTGATGTCCCTCACTATGGCCAGACCCTTTTCAACAACCAGGCCAGTGTAAGAGAGGACTATGGCGGTTACCAGCAAAAGCAGCGCCGCCCTGAGGTTCACAAGTCAGTTGAAGTGACTGAGAGAGTCACAGAGTGTGACAAGAATGGGAACTGCGTTGTTTTTGAGGAAACCGTCGATGTTGAAGCTGACGACTTCATCGAGGGCAAGCGCAAGGGATTTGAATTGTGCAAGTGGAAGACCTTCGAAGGCCGTTAAGGCTTTTGGAGAGCGTTGGTCATGGATGACCGGCATGCGTATCTCATAAACTAGTGTGCTACCCTACACCACCAGTTACATAAATAAAATGCCTGTCTTTTATAAATGCTGAAGTTCCTTGGCTCTTAGTAGGATGCCATTGTTAAGTTTCACTTATTAAATAAACAAGTTAAAGTTATAGTTATATTTGCTGTTATTGCTGTTCTTGTTCATAGTTTTGATGGGTTGCCCCTCTGCTAGTATACTGCTCTTGTTATTAATGCAGCAAAGCAATGGTCGTATGAACATCAGAGATGTGGCCTCCCATTTGCTTTAACTTTTTCTGTTGAAGTTGAAGGAATGGACGACTATACATATACTAATACTACTAGAGGTACAAGTTATGCAGAAAAATGGCCTCGAAGAGCCCTTCCAAAGCGTTTTCTTTGATAGGTCTTAGGTACCAAAAATTAACTGGCTTGCTTGAGCCCTGCCTCAACCAAGTGCTGCAATATTGATATGTATGGCTAGCATAGGGCTTGAGCCACCAACCTAAAGTAGTTAAGTTCAGCCAATTCATTGGAAAATCAGATGACAAGAGGACCGTGATGTGGGCGAAAATATGTTTATATCGAATCGAATCGTGCTTAGCACATGTCTTATGCCATCTTTGTTTTGAGCACCTGATCTGAAGCCCATGGCAGGGTATCTACCAGGTTCCAGGACCAGCACCACAATAATGTGGGGAATAACTTATCATTTTCAAGATCAAATTGGACTATGCATCTGAAGAGATTCTAGAGCAAAGGTATCAACTTGTAGGGTATTTGATCCCCAAAAGAAAGCATTGATCCAAGCCTTATTTAGGTAATGATAAAAGGTGGTAGAACTGAATATAGTTTTGCATATCTTGTCACTTCAAAATCAATCATCTACAGATCTCACCAAACCACCAGCAGCATCAAAACACAAAACATAGATAAGAAGCCATAAAGAATACATGGAGGAATTCGGAAAAAAGCAAAAGAGGATTATTTTTAAGCATAGGTACACTGGCACATAACAAATTAAGCACATAATAACACAAGTATGCTTGTCCAGGATTTTGATCTTGAACAAATTAAGCACATAACAACACAAACAAACAAACACACCCAAAAAAAAAAGTGCCTTCAGGCTCTTCTCTTTTTTATGTACTTCTGGTGTCAAAAGTTATATGCACAATGACCCAAGTATAAGCTCTCCCCACCCCATTCCCCTGTTTGCTATATTAGAAGAAAATTGCGATGGTAAGGCAAGCTTGAGCTGCAATTCACATTAACAAGAACAAAAATGCTGCCAAGAAAAAAAAAAGAAAAAAAAAAAAGAACCTCACAGAAGGACCAGAATTACGTATCATTATCAGGTGGAACATCAGCCTCATAAAATCTCCTTGAAGACATTTTATCAAACAAACTTCTGAGGCTGTGCTTGCTCTCCCTACGCCTCCTAACGACTCGGGTCGGACTATCCAGCTCATTAAATGGATTGTCATCAACGAATAACCCAGTCTCTAACCTTTTGGACACGGCCACAATCTCATAAGCATCCCAGAGTGACTGCCCAAAGTCCCATGCTGTATAACCACTAGCCTGATTACTAGCTGATGTAGATTTTCTCATCGCTTCGAGCTTGAACCGAGACGGTAATCTGCCTCTGAAATTTCTCCGGTGAGCGTCAAATTCGGACGTGGGCCTAGAGCCGCTGGAGTGGCTGTAC